AGCGCTCGTTTGTCCCTCCCTCCATCCGAGCTTCTCCTCTGCCATCTGCCACTATCGACGAGGTCGACGAGGAGGCGCTATCGACCATGACAAAACAACTCGACTTTGTGGGTCGCACACCCTCACCAAGCGACAGCTGCGCCCGCCAAACTCAGATCTACAAACGGGCGCTGCTATGGCTGACGATGCTCGTCCAAGAATCTCTTCCAGGATTCGAGCTCCTCGAGTACGGCGCCCGAAAAAAGGGCACGGACACAGAGTGGTCTGACATTGATGTCGTCGTCGTGGGCAGCTCGGAGGAACGGGAGACACTGCAGCGGTTCCGGAACCTCGTGTTCAACAGGGAAGCGGAGCTCTTGCAACAACTCGGCATCAGGCAAGTCATCATCAACGACGAGAAGCTGACTGCGCGCGTCCCTACGCTAAAGTTCAGTCTGACTACCAACCTTCACGTGGACGTGACGGCTCACGACAGCCGACGCCGTGACTGTCACCACGGTCTTGGAATGGTTAACGTCATCACAACTATGCGAGAGACGCAGTGCATTTGCACGCCAATGCGGCGATGGGGACCGCTGGTCCGCTTTTTGAAGGCCGCGCTGCACGTGTGTGTCCTGCCGGCCCTCGCCGCCTCGATCGACCTGCGCTCGTTTCACATAGAGGTCTTGGTGCTATGCTTTCTGCTTGATAGCAGGGTATGGCCGCGGAAGGCCTATTCCGGAGAGAACGCAAGGGCACAACTGCTGCTCGACCTGGTCGAGTTCTACGCGACCAGGTTCCGGCCCAGAGAGCATTACATTCACCATGAGCGGGGGACAACCAAGATGTACTTCGTTCAACGGCAGGAGGGTCGCATGGGTGATCTGGTTATGAGCAGCTTGCTGCCCGCGAGCGATGCGGAAGGTGACGCATTCTACGATAGTCCCCGGGATGGCGGCTGGGAACAGGTGATCAAACCGTTCTTTCAGACGATCTCTGACGGGATTCGGAATCAAAGCTGGTCCCCGGAACTTGAAGAGCTACTTGGTGTCGGCAGGCCCACGCGCTCAGAGCGGTTCCGGAACCGGCTTGGAGGAAAAGGATAGAGTCTCATCTCATCCGTTTCAGCGATAGCAATTTAAGCCCCCAAAGCTCCTCATTTCTTAAAAGGTCTTAAAAAACTGGCACGACAAGGGCGCGGACTGGCGCGGACTAGCACACACACACCGGCTCACAAAAAGAATTTAAAAAAAGAACTCCCACAGCAGACAGGCTCGACACAGGTGCGAACTGGATTTGCTAGTACTATCACAAAAGAAATGGACGCACGCCGCCACTGAAGTGCGTGCGGGGGCACGTGCTGGCAGCTTTTGCCCCTGGCCCTGGCTCCATGGCCGCCGCGCCCTCGCTGGCCACGCTGCAGAACCTTGTCCGGCGCGACCCGGATGGCTACACCGAGGAGGTCGGCCGGCGGCTGCGCCACTTCCAGTCGCTGCTCGCGCTCGTCGAGCAGCAGCCGGGGAGCAGCCCGGCCGACTTTCTGCCGCTGCTGAGCTTCGTCTCGCACATCGCGGCGTGCTTTCCGTCGCTGATGGCCGACCTGCCCGAGGGGCTCGGCCGCCTCCTCGAGGAGCGCCACGACGTCCTCGAGCCCGCCGTGCGGCGCGCGCTGCTGCAGGCGCTCGTCCTGCTGCGGAACCGCGGGATGGTCCCGCCGCTCGCGCTGCTGCAGCGGTGCTTCCGGCTGTTCCGCTGCCGCGACAAGACGCTGCGCGCGCGGCTGTACGCCTACGTCGTGACCGACATCAAGACAGCCAACCGCAAGGCGCGCGACCAGCCGCTCAACCGCGCGCTGCAGAACCACGTCATCCACATCCTGCAGGAGCCGAGCTCGGTGGGCGCAAAGTACGCGCTGCGCGCGATGATCGAGCTGTACCGCAGGCAGGTCTGGCGCGACGCCAAGACCGTCAACGTCATCGCCTCCGCCCTCTTCTGCCCCCACCCAAAGCTGCGGATCGCGGCGCTGCACTTTCTGCTCGGCGCGCACGACGCGCCGCGCGACGGGGAGGACTCGGAGGAGGAGGAGCTTCAGGAGGCGCGCGGCGCCGTCTCCAAGCTGCGCGAGCAGCTCGGCGGCAAGGACGGCTCGCACGAGTCTCGCCCCGGCCGCTGCGTTCACAAAAAGAAGCGCAAGCTGCAGCGCGCCATGCGCTCGACCAAGTCACGAGGCAAGGCGGAGGCCGCGGCCTCGTTTGCGGCGCTCCACCTGCTGCACGGCCC